CAGTGAATGCCAAAGCAAACCGATTTTTTTTCCATAGAGCTTCCCTCAAAGTCACCCAGCAAGCAAATGAAAGGGAAATTAGGATTTTACAACCTCTGGCACAGTGATCAGATCCTTACATATCTGTACCCAGAATCTTCTGAACCGCGCGTGCATAACACATAGCGCGTGAAAATAATTTATCAAGTCGATTGCGGTGCACTGTGGACAGATGTTAGATTGCGCAAAACCCATCTTGAATAAGCGTCAGACTAAGATTATAAGTGGTTATGGTGTGAGATCCTGTTACGTGCACTCTGTGCAAGGCATTTTGCCTTATATATGTATTAATTGTAAATTGGGGGTTTCTGGTAGGTTTTAAGTTCTTAGGACATATCTGAGCCCAGAAGTTTTGTTCCAAGGCTGACATGATAAATCCTGCCTCCCATTTAGTAATAGGAAGGAGGATATTTGTATCATCAGTTTAGTCAGTGATCCTGTATAACATAGACAGTAGTTTGGGGGGGTTTTAACTCATACGACCGAACACTCTGATATTTTAGTTGGAAATTATTTACACAACCTCCATCAATATGCTTAAATTTATTTCTAATTATAGCTTTGATTTGCTCATATTCTAGAATTTATTTTGTTAATGCCATATATTGCCAAATTTAAATTAGCGAATGTGATAAACTCCGTACTGTTCAAACAAATGATCCAGATATGTAATACTTTATTCTTCAGTACGGAAGTTTATACATTATTGTTTTTGTAGAATGTCAGGGTTATTCCAGATGTGTGTACGACTGCACGAGATAAGGGATGAGTTCGTGATTTTTAGAATTCCCACCATGCTGTCAGGGAAGAGCATGATGTTAATATTTTTTGAAACATGGGTGCCGTTTGATTTCTTAGAGCAAATAACGGCAAATCTGAGGATTTATTTTATTAATGAATATATTCCTGTTCCGGTGCCTATCCAGGGGCTCATCGAAGGGATTATGTTTTATCCATTTAGAGATGTATTGTAATAATTTGCTAAATAGTTAGTATTGGAAGTTAGGTAATTCTAGTCCGCCCTCCTGTCTTTAGTTTTCTGTAGTGTTTTTAAGTGATACGAGGGGGTTTTGTCCTTCCAAAGAAATTTTGAAGATGGAAGAATCTAGAGATTTAAAACCATTGGTTGATGGTTTATTTGGGATCATTGAAATAGGTAGTTAATTCTGGGTAAGACATCATTTATAATGAGGCTACCCGACCAAAAGGGAGATCGGAAGCGATTTCCATCTTTCTAGGTTCCTCTTCTATTTTCATTAAAAGAGGGGTGTGTTGTGGTTGAGTTTTGGTAACTCAGCTAGTTTAGATGACACAGTAATTCCCAATATTAATGATTATTTCCTGATGCAATTGTAGACTGAGGGATTCTGTTAGAGAGCAATTAATTGGTAGTATATAACAGGATATTTAGGACCAATTATAGGAGTTATTCTGAGACTTTTGAGAAAAGATTCTTAGTAAACTAATCACTTCGAGAGAGGCAAGTGTTTGAGGTGCTGGAGGATGAAAAGTAATACATCATCTGCGTAAAGACTAATTTTATTGCTCCATTTTCATGCCTTTTATACCTTTAATCATATTTGTTTTGTTGATTGTAGCAGCCAGAGGCTCATTAAAAATTTAGCAAAAAAGGGAGGGGGAGAGGTGGGCATCCCTGTTTCTGGTGCCCCTCTGGAGACAAAAAAACTGGAAGATTGTTTGATTGTTTGTCCTGAACAGGCGTTGGGGAAAGCGTGTTATAATATTTTTTAACCATTTATAAGGAATTGCCAAAGCCCAAATTTATGTAGAGTAGCAAATTAACAAATTTCCAGTTTACTCTATCGAATGCTTTTTCTGCATTAAGGACATATTATAGGATTTAAGATTTTTGCTGTAGGATTAATCTATTAAATTCAGCAGTCTGCGTGTGTTAGCAGCAGACTGCCTCCCCTTTAATTGAAACCGTTTATCTGGCGTGGATTATGAGAGGAGTGACTTTTATTCTAAACGTTTTGCTAAAGCTTTAAGACTATTTTAATATCACATTAAATTAGGATATGGGACGATAGCTTCGGGGAAACATAGGATCTTTGCCTGGCTTAAGCAGGAGGTCTAATGGTGCAGAATTCATATTAACTGGAAATTTTGCCATTATACTAGAGTTTCCTGCAGCATTCTGTGGAACGTTGGGGCCCAGAATGTTCCAGAACTCTTTATAGAACTCAGTAGGGAACCGTTCTGGACCTGGCGCTTTATTATTTGGCATTGGTTTTTTAATTATTTGCTTCCTGAACTTCAGCTGTAGACAGCGGTGAGTCCAGGGTCGTTCTTTGACTCTTGATAATTTGGAAGAGTTAATTTTATCCAGAATCGCTTGATATTCATTATCTGATGGATTTAACTGTCGATGTGTATAAAGATTTTAGAAATTCTCGGAAGGGCATTGTTAATTCCTCCCGGATCCTGTAATGTATTACCATTGATCTGTAACTGCAAAATATGTGTTTTTTTCTTTGTTTATTTTAGCTGGTTAGACTAAGAAGCTTCCTGACTTATTGCTATGTTCAAAGTTGCAATTTGAGTCTTTGAATTAAAAATTTATTTTGTTTTTCAATAAATTCGTTTAGTTCTAGTTTTATTTTACGGATTTCCCCTAACTTTTCCTCATCTAGCGAGCTTTCTAGTAACTTTATTTTTCCCTCTAATTCCTGGATCTTTTTTTGTTCTAACTTTTTTTTATGAGATGAAAATGAAATAATTTTACCTCTCATCACTGCTTTCCCTGCCTCCCATAGTATAGATGCTGATGTTCCTGGTAAATCATTGCACACCAAGTATGATGCCCACTCTTCCTTGAAAAATTTGAGAAACTCTTCATCTTTAAGCAGTGATGTATTTAATCTCCAGCTCTTGTTTTGTGGGACTATTTTTTTATTTATTAGGGTTAAAGTAACAGGAGCATGATCACTGACAGCAATAGGATGGATTACAGCATCTGAGACGTCAGACAGCAGTGAGCTGCTGATTAGGAAATAGTCCAGACGAGAGTAGGAATGATGGACATTGGAAAAGAAAGTGTATTCCTTACTGTTAGGATGAAGAGATCGCCATGCATCGCAAAGACCAAATCACTCATGTATTGTTTGACTACATTTAATGATTGCCAACTGCGCTGAGTCCCTGTTGTACTCAACCTGTCCATTTCTCCATTTAGACCAAAGTTGAGGTCACCCCCAATAATTAGAGAACAATCCCCGTGCTTTTAAAGTGCATGAAAAACTTTGTGGAAGAATGAGGGGTCGTCAACATTTGGACCATATATGCTGACAATACACAACTTTTGGTTATAAATAGATATTTTAATTATGATGAATCTGCCTTCAGGATCTATAATTTTGTCTAATAAAGTAAAACTGAGGTTTTTGTGGATTAAAATAGCTACCCCTCTCTGTCTCGAGTTATAGCAGGCTGCAAACACATCAGGGAACTCAGGGGAGTTAAGATCACTTATAGATGCCGCTGATTTATGGGTTTCTTGCAATAAGACAACATCTGCATTTAATCTTTTAAGCTGGTTAAAAATCTTAAGCTTTTTCTCTCTGGTGCCAGCCCCATGCACATTCCATGTCACAAACCTTACATTCACCATAGGTGTGAGTGAGAAGATGAAAAGTACATGCCTCTGAATAAATAGTTATACCTAGACCCAGGTAGCATCAAACCGTGTGCTTGTGATTGTGTGGACCACAGGGAAGAAGCAGACGAATAAGGAAAAGGAAGACAGAAAATTAAGAGAGTGCAATGAGTGAGAAAAGGTGAAAGAAAAAGAACCCCAGCCCATGCATTCTGTACCCAGCTGTAACTAGCAGTCATACCGTGCAAACGTGCTCTAGAGCTGTGCATATATTTCATTTATCACCGTGAAATGTTCTATACACTTTAATCAGGTGTCACATGCTTTTAAACCTGCCTGTTGTGCATCTAATAAAGCCAAGGAGTGATCTTCTGATCCCTGAACAACTGACCATTAATATAAAGTTTGTCAACTGCTACTGTAGCTCTGACGCCTTCACTGATGTATTTCTTCCTGATTGGGAATAACGCTCGCCTGCGATCTAATATTTCCTTTGGATACTGGTCATTGACGCTGAAATCTGTTCCTCTCAGCTCTCTGCCCTGACTCCTGACCTGCTCTTTCTGCTTGTAATGCTCAAACTTAGCTACAATTGGTCTAGGACGGGATTTATCAGGCTTCTTACCTCCGAGCCGGTGAACGCGATGGAAGGTGATGTTTTTTACCTGGTCCGCCGGGATTTTCAGCTTCTTCTGGAGGAACTCACGTACTATCGCCTCAGGGTCCTCGTCCTGCTGTTCAGCGATTCCAGCGAAGACGAGATTGTCTCTCATGCTCCGCGACTGAATGTCCAGAATGGATTCCTTCATCTTTCTATTTTCGCCGGACAGCTGGATCATCCCCTCGGCGAGTTTGGTGACTTCCCCCTTCAGCGCTTCATTCTCGGCGGTGACGGAGGCCAGCTGAGCTTGGCTGAATTCCAGCGACTCTCTCAAAGCTTGAAACTCCTTATGCAGGACTTCTACCAGGGCAAGGCGGGCGTCCAAGCTAGTTAGCTTTTTGTCGATGGATTCCAGGACGTCGCTGTAGCTCCTGTCTGGAGACAAAGTAGATGTAGAAGCAGCACTGGTTGAACTAGACCGACATCGTTTGGAAGACGGTGTGTTCGTGGATGTGGGATTCTTCGGCTTCCCCATTACGATGTTGTCAAAACACTCGTCCAGGTAGCTCTCCAGGCTCGTCAAGGTCTCGTCTTCCAGTTTGTTCCCTCGGAAATACGGTACAATTGTCAAAGTTTAAATCTGCTTGTTTTATTTACATTTATTGGCTTACTTACCAGGACTGGAATTGTTTGTTTTGAATTACCTGTATGTCGCCATTTTTACTTACGCACACGCCCACAGCTCTCGCGAGATCTCAGCCGCTCATCCCACCACAGTTCTGAGAATGCATCTCATGGTTTCGGAGACGCTGTAGAAAGACAGAATACCTGCTCTGTGATCCAGATACACTCCTATTCTGGAGGAAACTGGACCTGATTTCCCTATTTTTTTACTTAAAGAAATATTGCATTGGTTAACGAATACCCTTCTTTAAAGTGACAGTACACTGAATAAAATAATGCAACAATTTTTGGCATTTACTAATCGTATTTAGTTACTTTAACATAATTATTTTATGTCAAACCATGCTAACATGAAACAATTATGTTAAAGTAACTAAATATGATTAAATAATGCCAAAAATTTTTGCATTAGTTTTTCAGTGTAAACTGATGATATGTTATAAAATACTGTCAATTTGTCAAATAAATGTAAATTAAATAAACCGCTGCAACTCTGAAAAATAGGCATTGAGAATTGTCAGCTGCTATCATCAACATAAGATTTACATGATTTAAGCAGTTTAAAACCTTTTAGACCTGCAGAATAAATACATGTGTCTTACTTCAAACCCCTAAAATTATGTTTGTATTATTGCTTCATTCTTCATCATCCTTTTATTAAAAAAAAGAATTATTTAATGTTTGTTGCCAAAGCACTCTTCATGAATTGGCTTGTGGTTTCCCATCAGTGAAAATAATTCCTGTATCTTCCTGTCTGCTTGTAGGTGGTCTAACTATTAATTCTATAATTATTCCAGTACCATGAGTCACCTCACTATGGGAATACTGGGATGGCCTGACTAATCAGATCATTTTCAGTTGTTCTCTAAGCCTAGAATAGGATGATATCATATGTTGAACCACAACATGGACCCTTGACATAGGGATGATAATAGATGAGCTCAGAAGGTTTTAAATGTCATGAACCCGTTCCAGTTAACACTGGTTAGCTCTGTAATGACAACTCAAGCTGCTATGAGAGAAAACCAGATATCTACCGTCTTTGAGCCATGCTAATTGTTTATATGTATATTTTTGTACAACTAATGATTTTGAAGTTTCTGTTACGGCTCATATTGGCAGTTACCCATGGCAGCATTAGATTTTTTAGCTGTGCACCTGAAAAGTTTTTCTATTTTTATTGCTAGTACTGCATTCTGCTTATGATTAAGGAGACCGTGCTACATGCTCTGTCCAGCACTAAACATTTTTTCTTTTTCTCTCAATCTCTGAAGGTTTTCTACATTGTTGCTTTCATTAAGCATGGTTGTTTTTGCCTTAAATTGTTAACCTAAAATACTGGTTGAGGCACAGTTTATCACCTCACTGTCCTCTTTTCCATTAGCTAACGTGCCTGCCCTAACGTTGGCCTATGTGGGTCTTTTATCCCCCTTTGCCTTCCAGATGTGACCAACAGGTCCAAGCTTCACATCTGCAGTTCACAACAGAATAATTAGAAGGAACATAAAGAGGAGCTGGTTCCCTGAGGCAAATGGCAGATTGTGTTGCACATATGAGAGGTAATCTGGCTATTGTCTTTTTGGTTCCTTTGCTCAAATTAGCTCTAAGACTTGATTCCCTTGTCTGCGTCTTAGTTCTTAGCATCTGTTGGCTCCTCCCCCTCTCCCATCAACTGGTCCACAGGCAGCCCTACGTGTTACAACTGTCTGGATTCCCATTGCTTCACTCACCTTCATGTCCTCTTTTGATCTGTATAGAGAAAAGGTAGAAATGTAACAGAATCCTCAATACCCAAGTTCTCTGAATCACTCTCTTCTTCTTCCCTTAAAATCAGATCCTTATTTACTTTCCTCATAGCTATTATTACTCAAATTTCTCCTCTCCTATATACATATATCCTGAAGTCAACAGAATCTTATGTTTTTATATTTAACAAATTAAAATGGGGTTGTTCCATTCCGTCCTTTTGACCACCGAGTCAAATAATAAGGTAATCAGGAACACTGCAATAAACTTTGAACTGCACCTCATTGCCTGATCCAAAAACTGGTGCTTAAAACATGACACCAGTTTCCTGTTCTTAGCAGGTAGAAGTATACCAGGTTTGGTGTTGCGTTAATGCAGCTTATCTGTTTTAAAGTTTGACATTTTGTGCTTACAGTGGATAAAATAAGTATTGAACACGGCACTATTTTTCTCAGTATATATATTTCTAGAGGTGGTATTGACGTGACATTTTCATGAGATGCCGGTAACAATCCATGCATCAGTATAAGCTCATTTGCGCAACCAGATATACATCCAGGTTTCAATTAATAATGTAATTATTGTACTAAAATGACTTATTTCTATTCTTAACTTACTAAACAATGCTAATACACATCTTTAAAAATTTGGTTTATGAATTGTTTGTTTTTTTCATCAGACATGCTCAGAGCAGTCCAGCAATATATGATTAAACCATGTTTATCTGCATTTTAGTTGTTTCTTTCTTTAAGTTACACACTTTATACCATAATGTTAACACGAAAGGAAAACACAAAACTCAAAAAGACTAGATTTATGTTTAAATCCAAAGCCGAAAAAGTTAGCTCCTGGAAGTAGCGTAAGATCCCTTTTTGGGCACAGATGAGTGATAAAACAGAAAAGATTTAAATGCATTTATTTTCTGAGGAAATACATCATTAACCTTTAACAAATTATAGTTTAGTACGCTTACTGACTAATTTCCTGACTAACCTTAAAGAGAACTATATACAGTGTTTTAAAAAAAACAACATTAAAATAAGCAATAAGATACATCATAAGTAGACGAATGGAATAGCGGTAAATTAATTGTTATAATGTGTAAAGAAGAAACTTTAAAAGAGATCAAAAATATTTAAAGTACCTTTGATTTGGCAAGATGTGTTTTTCCCCTTTTCATCTTTTTTTAATGCAGAAGCTTTTTTAGAATGTTTAAGACATTTACAGGTGGAGAACAAGTCTGCAATAACATTCAATGACAATGCAAACACTGTAGGGATTTTAAAACAATAAACACTCAGATCCATCCTAGATGGTTTTCAGGTGAAAGGTAGAAAGAAAAGTATTAAAGATCCAAATTTAATGAAATTATTTTTGGTTCATATATAACCTTGTTGAAATACTAAAGCATGGCATCCATCCCAGCTCCTCCTATGCAGAGCTGAGAAGTATTTCGGTAATTTGATGAAATGCATCTGGTATCAGGTATTGATCTCATTACGGAAGTCCAAACAAAACCAGGCTCTAGATTAAAAACTCAGGGTTCAGAGATAATCAGTATTTCAGCCATAATTAACTCAAGCAGATGCTTCCCTACATTTATTTTCAAACATTCAGTTACACTATATTGCCAAAAGTATTTGCTCACCCATCCAAATTATTGGAATCAGGTGTTCCAATCACTTCCATGGCCACAGGTGTATAAATTCAAGCACCTAGGCATGCAGACTGTTTTTACAAACATTTGTGAAAGAATGGGTCGCTCTCAGGAGCTCAGTGAATTCCAGCGTGGAACTGTGATAGGATGCCACCTGTGCAACAAATCCAGTCGTGAAATTTCCTCGCTCCTAAATATTCCACAGTCAACTGTCAGCTGTATTATAAGAAAATGGAAGTGTTTGGGAACGACAGCAACTCAGCCACGAAGTGGTAGGCCACGTAAACTGACGGAGCGGGGTCAGCGGATGCTGAAGCGCATAGTGCGAAGAGGTCGCCAACTTTCTGCAGAGTCAATCACTACAGACCTCCAAACTTCATGTGGCCTTCAGATTAGCTCAAGAACAGTGCGCAGAGAGCTTCATGGAATGGGTTTCCATGGTCGAGCAGCTGCATCCAAGCCATACATCACCAAGTGCAATGCAAAGCGTCGGATGCGGTGGTGTAAAGCACGCCGCCACTGGACTCTAGAGCAGTGGAGACGCGTTCTCTGGAGTGACGAATCGCGCTTCTCCATCTGGCAATCTGATGGACGGGTCTGGGTTTGGCGGTTGCCAGGAGAACGGTACTTGTCTGACTGCATTGTGCCAAGTGTAAAGTTTGGTGGAGGGGGGATTATGGTGTGGGGTTGTTTTTCAGGAGCTGGGCTTGGCCCCTTAGTTCCAGTGAAAGGAACTCTGAATGCTTCAGCATACCAAGACATTTTGGACAATTCCATGCTCCCAACTTTGTGGGAACAGTTTGGAGCTGGCCCCTTCCTCTTCCAACATGACTGTGCACCAGTGCACAAAGCAAGGTCCATAAAGACATGGATGACAGAGTCTGGTGTGGATGAACTTGACTGGCCTGCACAGAGTCCTGACCTCAACCCGATAGAACACCTTTGGGATGAATTAGAGCGGAGACTGAGAGCCAGGCCTTCTCGTCCAACATCAGTGTGCGACCTCACAAATGCGCTTCTGGAAGAATGGTCAAAAATTCCCATAAACACACTCCTAAACCTTGTGGACAGCCTTCCCAGAAGAGTTGAAGCTGTTCTAGCTGCAAAGGGTGGACCGACGTCATATTGAACCCTATGGATTAGGAACGGGATGTCACTTAAGCTCATATGTGAGTCAAGGCAGGTGAGCAAATACTTTTGGCAATATAGTGTATTTCTGCTCTCTTTTGGGGATCCTGTTCCACAGATGATGAGGGAATCAAACTACAATTCAGTCTCTCAGATTTTTTTTGTATTAAAACCAATAGAAAAGCATTTTAACAAAGAAATGTGATACTAGAAAAACAAATGATCATTAGGTGTAAAGTAGATGATGAGCATTTAGCTCCTTTTGCATAAATCACTGCATTAATTCGCCATGGCATGGAGGACATATGGTTCTGATGAGGTCCAGGTTGTCGTTTCTGGCATCTGCTCCATGGATTCTCTGGGGTTCTGGTCCGACCCATTTGCTGATAATGTCAAGCTGATTACTGCTGGTTTTGGTTCCTTTGGCAGGGCAGGTCTGATCCATATCCTGCTGTAAAGTGAGAGCAGCATCCTCATAAAGCTCATCAGCAGAGGGAAAATCCAAAACATCCCGCTAGATCATGAAAGT